TGAATTTACGCGACGTTAACGTTAAGCCTAAGTTACATAATATAGTGAATAATACACTATATTGGGAAAGTTAATATAACTAGCTACGTGTTAAAATACTCAAGATACTGTACTATATTACTGTATTCATATTACGTATTTCGAGTTGATATATTACTCAATAGATTATATTCATTAACACGCTTTTTAAAGCCTATAATAAATCTAATTATAATCATAACATTTGTTTAAGAATGCATCAATGAGGACGAATAAATAGTTTAAATTAAAATTATGTCAAGTATGTACGTACGTTTTCATCATTATGTTCATTTCGGCAAAAAAACATGATTTAAGGTGATACCTATCTTTATCGTTATGCCATTGTTTACAATTTTGGAATACCTACGAATGACAATAATCCTAAACAAAGTTTTTTTTTACATTACAAGCTGTTTGTTTCGGAATTACGTACGCACAGGTGACTTAAGCACATAAATGGACTTTAATAACAATAAAAACAATAAAGACAGTCTCAAAAAATAATAAATAAATACATACCTACATAAAATTCCCTCTCACGCAATTAAAAATGTCCAGCAATAGTCAAGCACATAAGACTCTTTCAAAGCTACTTGAAAATTTGTCACTTGAAGAAAATGATGACAAGTTTTATGAATATTTCGACAAACTTGGGTCCTTACCACATGCCGAAAAAGAAGCAAGATTTAAAGAATTTTTAGATAAAAATGAACAAATTTATAAAGAAACTTCTAATATATCATCTGTTCATGTTGACGAAAATTACACTCAGTATCAAATTAATGAATACCGAAAGAAAGCAATTGCTGATCATACCTTTTCATTCGCAATGCAGCATAATCTTGGACATGTTATCTCTGAGCGTCTCACAAATTTCTTCAGTGTCAACAATAATCTTCTTGGATCCGGAGTAGATGGTAAACCGCTTAACCAAATTACTTGCGCAAATATTAACGTCGCCAAAAATTTCTTCTGTAAGAAAATTGCCGACAAACTTTGTAGTAGCTGTCATGTTATCTCTTATTGTAGCAAAGAATGTCAAAAAATGCATTGGAAACTTCATAAAATTACTTGCAAATCAGATATCGCGTCAAAGGATTGGAAACCTGATTATATCAATGAAATGCGAACTCCTGCATTCTATGCTCAGACTCAACCTTTTACTTCTTTTAGTCCTTTAATAAAAGAATATTTATGGGGAAACATGCCAGCAATTAATATTGTAAATTTAGCTTCCAATGAGCTCGCTGATGGCAAATCATGTTCGAACTATAAAGGTCCTTTTAATCTTCTCTTTGCTGCAAGCGGTGATCTCAATGATGTTATTGCATCGGTCAATGGATTACCACTTGATTTCAATCAACAAATTAATATTTGCATTAATGATCATGCTGAAAGGATTGTAATTCGAAATTTTATAATACTTTATTTACTCGCAAAACTCGGAAAGGATGCTATTGAAATTGTTATTCATATTTGGTATTCATCTTCAATTACTGATAAACAATTACTTAAATGTCTTGAAATATTCAGCTCAATTCTTATAGGCAAATCGGATTCAAGGATGAATCAAAATGAAGTATTTGAGTTTGGTAAACTCAAGATTCGTACTCATTTTAGTCCCGAGACTTGGATG